CACTTGAAAAAGAGGGAAATATAAGATAATTTGTACAAAACGTCATAATCGTTTGCATCCATTGAGAAAATTGTTCTTATCATTTTAAACTTGACATTTGTACCATCATTTCAACATTTTTCTTGTGGAATTGGTCATTTTCATCTCATTCTGTCAATTCATTCTGTTAAATATAGTTATTTGGCGCAAAATGTACCTATAGTTTGTCTTCACTGCGTAAATCATTAATATCATTTCAATTTTAACATTGGACCCTTAAATTGACCTTTATCTGTACAAAAGGTAATTGCCATTTATTTTTTTATTAAAATATTGTAAAATGACTAATTTACCATACTTTTCAAATAACACAATTAGAAAAGAAATAAATAATATAAAAAAAATAATTACAATCAAAGTCTTAAATTTTTCAAATAGTGCAAATGAGTCTCACTTAAAATAATTTAAAACATATTAAAAAAAATTCATCTTGTCCAAAAAAAAAAAATTCTTTTCTTTTTAGCTAGATTTGAATTCGAGCGACTATTAGGCCCTATTTGATTGGCCATATTTTCCAAGTAAAGTGGAAAAGAAATTCCATTTTCTCACTTTTAAGTCTGTTTGATGTGTCAAATTTGGCCTGGAAAATCTTTTCCCATTTTCCCCTTACGTGACCTATTTTCCCTCTAATCGTTGAAATAGAATTCCCGTCTCAGACTCGGTAAAATATTTTCCACCAAAATCAGGAAAATCGAACCCCCACAAAATCAAATCCACAGCAATTTCCCCAAACCTTCTCTCGACTATTGTCTGATTCGTCCTTTCAGGCAGCACCGATTGCTGCTGTTTTCCAGTTGAACTGAGCCGACGACCATTGTCTACAGTCGTCTCTCACGGCAAACCTTGCATCGCTTCGTCCGCCGTATAAACAGGTAGGTTTCATAGTTTTTAGGTTTTTTTTTTTTGGTTTCTTATCAGCAATTTCATCATGGTGTGTCGATGTAGTTGTTATTTTTGGATTTGCTTCAATGTCCCTGTACTTGAACTCCATCTGAAGTTTCTACAAATAAATGGGTATTTGCTCACTTATGTGTTGTTTAATGGCGAAATGTCGACTGTCTCTCTTGAATATATTTTTTATAGTTGAACTTTTGCTCAACTTATTTCTGGGTTTGCCCATAATTATCTATGGATCCTGGCTGGCCTCTTTCCATACGCAAAAATTCACCCGCGCAGATGCGTTAGCCAACATTGGATACACACACTTGACTCACTGCTAGATATCTCTGCGGATTTTGCAAAACCAATCAACAAATCTCTCTTCACTCTCTGTCTATCTTCTCTCTCTCTAGTATTCAAACCGTGTTCAATTTTATCTGTGCATATACTTCTTCCTCATTTGGGATTTTACCCAATTTTTTGGTGTTGCGAGGTGAACCTTTTTCAATCACAAAATTGAGAATCCCTCTATTCAATTTTCAACTTTCCTGATCTGGGCTCTTTAAAACCCCTCTATTGTCAAATTTATAGTTACTATTACATTGACATTTCATATTGCTAGCTTCTCTATGTCTTCTGGATGTAGCATTAGTCAGTTCATTTCTGCCTTAGTCAAATAGATGTACATATTTTCATGAGACTGCGATTTAATTGTCATTTAATTGCATTATTGAATCAAATGTTGTAGGCTTCTGGTATTTCTCATTTCTTTCCGTCAATTCCCGAAACATCACGTTGACACTTTTTGTACGTTGTTGTAACTGCCATGGATACCTCAAGAAACCAACATCGTCGCCAACGACAACAATTTGGTCTATTTTGGATTATGGTCATACAAGCAATT